CCCCCCCCCCCCCCCCCCCCCAAAGCCCTTGATTTTTTTCCGATTGATTATAATTCTAAGAATATAATATATAAAATTTAATTAAATATTTGTTATTAATGATTAATTTTATTAATTAATGCTAATTATTTATTCAATAATTAGTTTTTTATTGTGTTTTGTTCCCGAAAATTGTCAAAATCAAAAGGAGCATGATACAAGAATGGTGAATTTTCGACCCCGGACCCCCCCTCCCCCTTGAAAAATTCCTGTGTGCGCTACTGGTGGAATCCCATTCCATTCACATACTTCGCGAAGAATATATCTCAAAATAATATTTAAAGTAGATCAATATATGTTATACGCACTTTATGTAAAGGCAATTCAAAAAAAGTATTGCATTTATTATTAAAAAAGTATAATCTAATTTTTTAATATAATTTACTCATTAATAATATTAATTTGTTATATAAGTGTCACCTATCCATGCATTAAATTTAGTAACTGATTCACACAAACTGTCGAAGTCTAGCTCTATTGAAATTAAATGTAATCGCTTTACTTATTCAGAGCTTAATTTTTTTTATACTTTGTTTTTGTAGCCACTTAAGTTGAGAAATATATTTCACTTAAACACAATGCTCTAAAATGGCATCAAAATGTTTATAGCTGTGTGAGAAATCTCGTGTATTTTGTATAAATTTGCAACCTAAAATTTAGAAACTGTTCTTGTTAAATTTAGATTTTAACAACGAATCTGTAGATAAGTTGTTTCCTCTCCCTCATTAAGGTACTTTTTCCACAAGTGCAAAAAAGGTACATTTTCTATTCGAAAACTATTTAGTTTTGCTAGGCATTGTGCTAACTACGAGTATAAGATTATCTGGTGGAATTCGAGATAGTAAACAACAGAGTATCCACAATTTAGTAGGAAGTATATATGTATATATATAAAGATAAAACGTTTTAATATTATTTTATTATATTATAATAAAGGTGTATAATAAAATTTTTATTTATAAATAAAATTTTCAGTTTTAATGAATAGGGGACGAGCTTTAAATACATGTAACTATAGAAACTTCATAGAGAACGGGAATCCATTTTGCATGCAGATTTATTTCATCTCGAATTTTTTATTGTGGAACCGCTGGGTATGCCTTGTGGAACCCCAGGGTTCCGAGGAACACAGTTTGGAGACCACTGATCTGCATGAATGTCGTGCCCGAAAAGATAGGTTTAATGGTACAACAATGATTGAATTCTTGACTCGAAACTATAAGTCGTACATAAATTTACCACTTCGGATCTTTCTTATGCATATTGTTATTTTTGCCGACAGATATCAGTGTTCCAGTCGACCTTCACGCCGCATTACCAACGATGCTAGTTTCCGTCACCGGACACCCAATGAGAAATGGATCAGGACGTATTCTGCAATCGTCTTGATTGCAATGACATGAGGCACTTGCTCGCTGTCATCATCAGGGCTCAGTTTCAACCCATTCATCTCGTCCTCCAGCGATTTGGCGCGGTTTTAAGATTACCCACATTCTCGATTTCGAATGCTAAATTATTGGAGTGTTCTCAGCTGGGTTAGGTTTAACAGCGAAAGGTTAAAGTTGCATCTTGAATGATTCGTCACGGTTTATTCTGACAGAAACACCTTTGTGTTCTAACTTTATGGGAATAGGAGTTTGCGGGTATCTTGTTGCTGATAAATGTCATCTATTCTTTTGTTTTTAATATAGAGTTTTTTACTTATGTGAAAGATTATCTCTAAAGAAGGGTGTTTTGAAGTGAGGCAGTCCTTCAGCAATAATTCAGAAGAGGCTTGCATGTAATTAACTTCTAACATTTCCTCTTCCATTTCTTCTTTTGGCTACGGTAGCCTAGGGTCAAGGTAACGGACTTGTGGCCAGTGTGTCAGGAATTCAAGCCTAGTACCGCTGAAGACCCACCGTGCAGACGGGGGTGTTGCATGCTAAATCTGTCGAGGCTCAAACATCCTCTTGTTGGTGTGGGTGGGGGGGGGGGCGCTAGGAGAAGGGGTTGCCAGCTCAGATGTCATTCCCATCATTTGACCAGGGTTCAAAACTAAGAAATCCGTAGCCAAAAGCCCCCTAGTTGACGAATAGTGCGACGTTAATATTCACTACTCATTCCATTTCTTCTCTTTACTTTTAATAACTTATTTAACCTCCGCTTGGGCGTGAGTGAGTGAGTGTTTATTAGCGCAGCATTGTAAAGCAGCACGAGGGTTATTGACGACATACCTTGCAAATTCGAACCCTGGTCAAGTGACAAGAACGGCACCCAAGCTTGTACAACTTTCCATACTTCTATACCACTCATTTAAGCCTCGTCAGATTTAACGTGCATCAGCCTCTCTACACGGTTGGTCTTCAGTGGCGCTGAGGCTCGAACTCTTGATATGCTGACCACAAGTTCATGATTACTAGGTTAGTTCAGCTCCGGTGGCCTGCACCTAAGGAGACTAATCATAGTTTGGTGAAAGTTTTCGTTTACACCCTCTTCCCACAGTTTCTTTCGCCCTGTGGAACTGAAATTTGCCAATAACTGATTATTCTCTTGATTCCTTTATCGAAATTGTAATGAGAGGTTAAAATAATTTGTTTGCTAGGAGCCTCGTAATATTGCAATGTGAGTGATTATTTCCAAGCAAATGAATCGTGGTGTTTCCTGGTGGTCACCCTCCCAAGCACTGACTTTGCTGGATGAGGCTTAACTTCGGTGATTGGACGAGAACCGGTGATTTTAGCATGCACGCAAGTGAATTAGGCAGTTTGTTTTATCTGTGGCGTAATGTAAACCCCCTCATATTGCTGGAGGGCCCAGGGGCTCTAGGGGACTACGGCTTGACTAACGCTAAGTACGTATGTACGTATTTGGGCTTGGGGCCAAAAATGAATGACAATGAATGGAACCTCGCAAATTTATTATATTCGGCCTTGTTTTTGGTACTGTTCAGATACTTTCCAAAATATAAATTAAATCACGTTGTCATGATAAACATCGTTGCCTAGTTAGTGACCAATGAAGTTTCAGTCAAAGTCATGCACTTCAGTCCAAACTCCACCAAAGATTCGTGGTTTAGAGAGGCGTGTTAAATCTATCGAATCTTAAATTCCTTAAGAAGCATACACATAGAGTAAGTTGCCCTCTCAGTTGCTGATGTCACTTGTACATGATTCAAAAATTGAGCATCGAATAAAAAAAAAGCCAAAAGTGATAAAAAATAGACAATGCATCAAGTTGAAGAATATAAAAATACATCGTCTTTTCCCAAAAGTTTAGGTATAATATTTGTATTCATATTAAAGTTTGTAATATCTTTTCACATTCATATTCACCCAAAAAAAGTTTCAGAAGCTCCTTTGTTTAAGCAAACATCGAAATAAATATTTCAACTCAGCAAAATTATACTGTCCAATTTTCATACAAAAATTTCTGCAATAACGTTTTAAGATATTTTATTTGATTTGATTAATTTGCATTTTTTAATGTAAAACACGACTGTAGTTCAATAAGGTTCAAAACTAATTGCTCATTTTTTAAAATTGTTCCATGAATGATCAGTAAAGGAGCCTGGTTGAGTGAAAGTGTTGTTGTTGTTGCTTATACCGCCTGATAGACAGTAATATCAGATCAAAGCCCAAAACATTCATCGCGGTAAGGGCGATATTTACGCCTGTCATTAGTCGTAGTTTTGAGCCCCATGCAGGTGACAGTTACAATTTGGCTCGTTCTATCCCAATGTTGAGGGAGAACACTCTAGGGGTGGGCAGAGGCCTCCCACCACTCTCTCTTCCTCTTTCCCCAACCTCACGCAGCTTCACGGCTATTCAGAGTACCCCAAAGGCGCTATATATTTACAAATATCCATGACTTCGGGATTCGAACACCACACACAGGCTCTACTGCACCACATTCAGCGTCACTAACCATTGTACCGGATGAGCGGCGGCTGAAAGTGCAAATGTGCACTGGTTAATATTCTTTATAAATGTGTAGATATTGCTTGATGTATAAGAAAAATGTGAATTTTTTATGTGTCTCTCCCCTTTTTTGTATAAATAATGACTGGAAATTATAGACATAAGTAATAAATCGTTAAACATATAAATTTATCTCGTAGATACATCTTTAGAGTACTTACATAATCTTCATTTTTAACTGACACCATTATGAAGAAACAAAGAACCAAGATGTTTGAAAGTGTACAGTTATATAAAGATTATCAAAAAACCTGATAAAATAAATTAAAAATGATAAATGATCATTGATAAATGATTGTTTGAAGGAAAAAAAGTAGCAGTTAAAATAATATATTTAAATGCTCAGTATTGTCTATGCGTTTTAGTTCATACTTTTTTTGCTATTTTAGCAATGTTACAATGAAAGCAAAATGAGCCTCGTTAAGTTGAAACTTTTTGATTTTAATCGTATCTTTGTGTACCAAAGAAACATCAGTTTGGATCACTGGAGTCCCATTACTCCAGTGATGGGACTCCAGCACTATGCACTATGCAAAAAGTACTTCTTGTTTTGAAGACCTTGAACTTCACTTTTTCCATAAAACTAAGTCCTGGAAGTTGTCTACTCTTTTTCGCAATAACTGATGTATTCTGTTGATTATTCGTCAACATTTACCAAGAGATTCTTAAAACTTTGAAGAAATGAATAAGAAAAAAAGAGTTAAATGTCATTTTTGAAACACATTGCTACGTTGCGCTTTGATATTAAATATCACCATTAAATTAATGACAGTTCTTACACGAGAGTTAATGTAATTTCTGTCTAGAAAATGAAAAAGTAATCAGCACAAATTATTTTTCTCTGTCATTTTACAGGCCACTTTTTAATACTCGGATTAATTAATTCGGACATTAATGTTTCACTGTTTACGTACAGTGTAGCATTTGTCTCGGTTGGTTCTGTGGAAAAAATATTCTAAATCTAGAGAAAAAGAGAACTTTTCATTTAATACAAAATTTGCGAGTTGTTCCGCGATTTTTACTTTTTGTAAGTGTTGAAAAGGATTTTCTTTTAAATAACTAAACTGTAATTAGAAATATTAATGTTCAAAAATTCCGTCTTGCTTCATTTTTAAAAAATGGTGGGGTAATGATGATTCCCTAAATGCTAGCGCACTCTTGTTATTTTACCAAGTTAACTCTGTTGATTTGATATGATTTAAAGTTATAAGTCGCACTCTATCTCTCTCTCTCTCTAAATCGAAGGCTATTGGCTGGCACCCCTCTTTACGTTTCCGCACCATACTAACGGGTGGACTTCGAGCACCGACAGACCCGGCGAGTAGTCTAATGCAGGGATGGGCATTAAGTCGATTGCGAACTACAAGTGGACCGCCAAGGCATTTTGGGGTGATTGCCTTTAGTAAAACCTAGGACGCCCATACTAAGAGAAATATATTTGTGGAACACCGACCTCATCTAAAATGAAGAATCTGTTTTGAACAAAAGGTGCAACTGCGTTTACTTAAGCAATTGATTCAATAAATTGCGGAAGACACGTTTCTTCATTGGAAGTACACGAAAACGTTTAACGCGTTCACTGTCACTGTAGGGGAAAAAACCATTACAACGATGCCAGCCGTAGAAATGAAATTTTTTCTATATGCCAACTGAAGGGGAGAATAAATGTTGATGACCAGCTCTTCCCACGGTAGCATGGGATTGGCTATTGAAGCATCATTCCACACCCCACTCGTAGCCATGGTAGCCTAGTGGTCAAGGTAACGGACTCATGGCTGGTGTGTAATAAGTTCAGGCCCAGTACCACTGAAGACTCACCGTGTAAGGAAATGATACACGTTAAATCTATCGAGAGCTCAAACGTCCTCCCGTTGGTGTGGTGTGGTAGTTAAGAGAGGGGTGCCAGTTCAGGTGTCGTTCTCGTCACTTGACCATGGTTCAAAATGACGAGGTCCGTCTCCAAAAGCCCTCGTGTAGCTGGATAGGGCGACGTTAATATTCACTCACTCACTCACCTACACTCCGCTCTTTCACGGATTTGGGTTCTCGTGTTCATGTCATATCCCACGATGTCGCAAGACTCGACAGTGAACAAATTAAGTATATACGTCAGTTTCGGATTTATCAATTTATGCATGTTATGTTGTTACTCAAAGATGACTTCTTTAACAGATAAACTGTTTATTTTTAAAACAAGAATAAAGAAAATGGGGAATAACAAATAATAATAATAATAAATAAATAAAAAAAAGTGAAACATTTAACACGCGTCTTTGCCTAAATGGCTAAGTTCATTATTTTGAAGAGGTCCTCTTTCTCCGTCGTCGTGGGTCTGTCTCAGGTCACTCTCTCACTCTCTCTCTCTGAGAGTCATTCCCACTCGCTTCTCTTCAAAGCCATCTGGGAGGGGGGTGCCAGGGACATGCAGTAGTGCCTCCTACTTCCACATGTATGTTTCATGCTCGGTGTATTGAATATGTCCACGGTCAAACAATCGCCTATAATTGTTCGAGTATCCATCTTGACAATTTCGTGTTTTTGTAGTAAAAATAGTAATCTATCGTATTTTAAAAGAGGGGTACAATGTCGAAAACAAGTGTCAGGAAAGGAAACATATAATTTTAATAGAGAACAACCACACACATGGATAGCCACTGGGTGAATCGCAACACCTTGCAAATATTAGAAGTAGCCCGCGCGCGCGCGCGCGTACACTGGAAAAGTCCGCCCACCCCTGTTACATCTCTCAAGGTACAAAGTCCTCTTGTTAGTGTGGTGAGGTAGTTTTGAGAGGGGGAGGGGGCAACTCAAGTATCATCCACGTCATTTGACAGGGATTGAACAGTACTGTGTTGTGTGTTGCTTTATAGTATACGACGTTACTATAACTCTCCTTTACTTGAACCTCGACAGATTTAATGTGCATCAGCTCCTCTAGATGCCCCTCCTTAGTAGCAGAAGGTTTTGATCCTTCCTCTTTAACGATTGTATAGCAACTATTTATTTTGGAAAATACTAAAGTTTATCATACATTTTGCAAGTTTGTGAACAAAATATTTATCTTTTGAAGTTTTATTACTTGAATCTTATTTAATCTCTCAAATTTATATCATTGCATTTATTTGAATGCAATTAAGTACATCCTAAGCCAGTGTTTCTCAATATTTCAATATTTGCGACCCAATATTCAATCATCATTTTCATTGCTCTCCCCCCCCCATCCATACAATAACAATGTAATGATATCAATAAAACTATCCTTTGTCGCTAAAGCTACAATATGACTTTAACCTCTTAAGTGACACCGTCGTATATTAACGTCTCGCTCAGCCAAAGCGTTAATTGTCCCGGACGTATATATACGTCTTTCCGAAGTACGATATTTTCTGTGCACTGCTATTCATATAATTATTCCGAAGGCTTTGGAATGCAATATAAAGACCTTGGCAGTGTTTGCGAAGGATTTACTTATTTCGGAGGATTTGCTCTTATTTATTCCTTTTCTTCCTCCACCTCTAATACACATCACAGACGCATGCTTAAGTGGAAAACAGTGTCATTGGGGAGCAAATCACGTATCTTTAATCGGCAGGGGGAAAAAAAAAGGGATTAATTACAAACCGTACAAATCATCAAGATAAGTATTAATTTTTGAATATAATTTTTTATATGACGAGCCTATGAGGTCAATGTGTGTGTGCGTGGTTATTATTAAACTTATTCTTAACTTAGTATTGTTAATTATAAAATACATTGGGCAGTAC